CTTCAGTTCAGGGCTATTTTGTGCTGGCGGGAATGAACTCTGCTGGCCTTTCATTTGGTGGAGGGGCTGGAAGGTAAGTCTTCCTTGCTCAGACCCTGCTTGCTGGGTGCTTCCTTCCTAGAGTTCCCTGTTGCTGATGTGGCGTGTAATGGATGTATGTAATCTGGTATGTTAATAATGAGGAGGTACACTTAATTCGAGAATTGTCCCCTTCAAAGTAATCACTGTGTGATATCCAGAAATGTCATTGGGCACAATGTTTTGAGAACTCTTCTTTTGGAATTAGTCTCGAAGCCTGTGGGATGTACTTTTGTTTTGAATGCTCGCCATTCAGTAATCTGGAAATTTAACAAGTAGGTTTGGAAGACCAGTTAATGAGATTGTTACAGACATATTAGCCTATCTAGTGATTCACAGATGTAGTTGCTCATAAAATAGCTGGGTAATAAAGTCCAGTTACTGACTTTTAGGTTAGTATAGTGGAAATCACTGGGTGCTTCTGTTTTCTTCTCTTCCTACTGTGTGACTAAGAATATACAGAGTTTGTTTCACACACCAGTGTGGGTCCTCAGGTAGATGGGTGATATGTCAAGAGCCAGGTACTTACTATGTAATCAACCGTCTGGCAGGAGGGGAGGTCAGATCCATCAACAGAGAGTAACCTCAGGACGATAGAGGCTCTCTCTCTAGGCTGCCACCACGCTGTGGAGGTTAATAGCTTACCCTTGGTTTCCACATGGTTCTCGTCTTTGGTAACAGTATAAATGGTTTTATGGAAAGTGTTTACCCCTGGTGATGGCAAATATATTTATCGAGTTACTAGAGTTGAAGAACATTTCACAAGTGGACACGACCAGAGTAATTAAAATGTCTGTTTATTTATTTACAAACTTAGTAATATGAAAAGAAAATCTTAATTGGAATCTGGCTTGATAGAAACACAGTGCACAATGTTAATACCGCATTCATGGAGGCAGAAATGCTCAGTCCCCCTAGGTACCTGAAGTCACCAGAGCTCTTGAGAAAAATCCCATCCCCTAAAGTGCCTCAGAGGGCTTCAGCACCACAAGTTGATGCTACACAGGGACAGAAAGGGGCTGAGCGAACTGCACATTTATAAACGTAAATAAGGAGTTACAGCCCTGTACAATCATTACAGTGGCATTTCCCGGATGCCAAGAGTAGCCCCGAGAGTATTAACTATGCTGCTAGAAACCCCCTGATTGAAACAAGCTGCAGAAACTTTCTACCCCTCACCTGCTTGATCTGGGGAAGGGAGGCTATGGTGGGGTGGATGGGAACCCTCAGACTGAAATTTTCTTTTCATCCTTCCTGTCTACACCCACCATGGGACATTCTGGGGTAAGGCACGATGAACCGGGCTTAAAGGGAGGGTACTCCCAGCTCCAGTTCTTGGTGTGCAAAGGAAATCCTGGCATAGATCTTTTGAAACAGATGCTAAAAATATCCTCTCCACCCTCTTGTAATTTCTGTCCTTGAGAGACAGAAAACCGAGAAGGCAGAAAAGGTTTGTGAAGGGTAAAAATAGGTACATCTAAATAAGAGAAAACCCATGAAGAAATGTGTAATTCTTCAAGGGATGCAGATTCTCTGCTCAGAGAAGTCAAGAATCATATTATACAATGAATAACTCTGGTGTTTAATGGACAGAGAGAAGGCAAAGACATACAAAAATATTCCGTTCTCTGGAAAAATAGTGCATTTGTAGTGATGAGGGACTGCAAATGCAAGCCCTGTGCGGGTGAGGAGGGAGCCTTACAACTCAGCACCTTGCAGTGGAGGAGGTCGAGGTGGGGGCTGCCAGAGAGGCACTGCCAGGCAGAGCCGGGGCTCACTCACAGCTCATCGCGGGACACGGTTAGCGCCTAACAACCCTTCTGTCAGCTACCATTTCTGCCCCTCTGCTGTGCTGCTCCTGAATCCATGTGCCTGCAAATGACTATTCTTGACTTGTGAAAATGTTCCCTTTATCGTGCTGATAAAGGCTGCTTTTATCAATTTGGGGAGGGATGTGGGTGCAGGGGGGGTGTGCAAAAGAAAATGGAAACAGTAGAAAGTTATTCAGTATTAAGCAGTAGTGACCACACCTCTGCCTTGGACACTAATGGGGATGCTTGCTGCTTATACTGGTCAGGTAGCTACCCCTGAAAGTCAGCCAGGACACAGCCTTAGTCTAGGGTCAGAACCAAGACAACAGGTTATAGAAGCTTCCCTTTTATCTCCCTTAGGTTCTCAGAGGAGGGTGAAGACTCACTCCGATGCCAGCACGTGTCCATCAGGCAGAGGATAAACCGAGCCAGAAAGCAAGGTGAGCAGTCAGCTCTTCAGTGAAGCTAAACCACTTTTAGAAAGCTGCTGTGATTCCTGCCACATCCGTGGTGTGTGTGTGTGTGTGGGCGGAGGGGTTAACATTTCAAATGCACTCAGAGGCAGGGTAATGGAGAAAGTGGAGTTACTTCACTTGTTTTAGTGATTTTCGAAAGAGGTAAAACTGTTGGTCTGTACGAGAAGGTAGAATCCATGGACATGTCTCCTGGTGAGAAGCCAAGTGACCGGGTTTCTCCTGCAGAAATGGGGTAACTGAGGTTAATCACTGAGCTCAAATGGTCTCTGGGCCCTTGGCCTGAACGGCAGCTCTTGTATTTGGGGGTACAGGGAGGGACCCCCGCCCCCAACAGAGCACTAGAAATGTAGTGGGAATTGTTTGGTTCTCTCTCCTGGAGCAGGTCCTGCCCAAGTGGTGGTCTGTGGCTCCAACACAGGTTACAGGTCAGCAGGTAGTTCCTGTCCCTTGCTCTTAAATTTTCCAAATTAGAGCTCTCCTGACTTTCGTGCCATTGTTATGGAAAAGCAGTGTCTCTGCTGCAAGCTTCCATATAAGACGAGTGACCACGGCAGGGAACCAGGATTTACATGTGGCGCGAGTAAGCAGGGGCTTAGCAGGTATTCCAAGGGCGGAGAGGGGCCACAGGAGACTGGCAGCCATGAGTTTTCATCTGCTTTAGGCCGGTACACTTTGTGTTTCCAGGTTTAAAAAGAGAGTAGAGCCCCTCCCTCAAGAGAGCACAAGAGGTAACGGCGGATCATTTCAGAGAAAAAAAGGACCAGCCATCGTCCAGTCTGGGAGTCCAGATCTGAGGGATCGCTAGCGAGAGACGTGTGATCACACAAGGTAAGTGCGCGTGGCCTGACTGCCTGGTGTGCAGGGAGGCAGGAAAGAGTCACCCCCTTCAGAGTTAGGACCAAAGAGAGAAACTACCAGATTCACACTGATGATGTCTGAATTGAGCAAGAGACTTCAGGGGTGCGTGTCAAAGTGGCAGAAGCGAAGCGTGTGTGTGTCAAGGGCCCTCAATAAAGAAGTGATGCCCCAGGATGTTAACATCTCGCCAGAGTCTTTTTGTGACCCTTATTTATGGCTAAGATAAAATTAACACATAAATCTAGAACGTCTTTTAGATTCAACCCTAAATAATCTTTCATTTACAAAGACGAGCGTGGCACAGAGCATGGGCTACCTCTAGCACCGCGTTCCTTGGTCAGCCGGGCCCCTGCCGCTCACAGCTGAGTCGGCCCAGCGCCCGGTCCCCGCTCTCCTACGCGCATCTCAGCTGCTGCACTCTGCTTTGCAGCGGGGCGACCCCCCTGCCCCTTTCTCCTCCCTACGCAGGGGCAGCAGCTCCCTGGAAACAGAGTTCTAACGACCTACTCAATCAATTGAGACCTCCTTGAGCAGTCAGTAGTCAAGCAGTTGTTGTCTGGGGAAATGGCAAGCAGTGTCTAGAAGGAATCTAAGTAAACAGACCCCAAGAAATGCCACAGCAGACAGACCCACCTGAGAATTTTAGGCTGCTCTAAAACAAAAGACACTTCAGTATAGAGGCCTATCAGAGCTAATGCTTCCAAGTTACGACGACAAAAATTTAAAATCTGGAACAGCAAAGGATGGGCGCAGACCCTACCTCACAGGGTGCAGGGGCCCTTCCTGGCGCCCCAGGCCCTTTTCCATTCCAGAGACCCAGAGCGCCGGCTGGCTGGGCGGGCAGACTCACAGAACGTACCTCCACAGACCCCTGGGGTCACTCTGGGGGGAATCTGCCTGTTCTGGGCCAGAGGAAGCCAAACGTGGGAGGCCAGCAGCGCGCTCAAACTCAGAACGGCAAGATTTGGTTCCTCACCAGGATAGCACATCCGCCCTGTTCCAAAGGGACAGCAGTGCCTGCTGCACAAGGGACAGGTGAAGGGAGATGCTGGGTCGGGTCACCGAGCTCGGAGCGGCAGGAAGCAGCAGCAGCCTTCTAAGGGCAGGAAGCCACCTCGGTGCTGAGCACCTTCGGAGAGCAGACCCTTTCAGCTGGGAAGAGCAACACAAAAGGCAACATGGTTTTTCCCTTTCAAACACCAGCTTGTTTACTCAGGCCAGCAAACCCTCTGAGAGAGCTGAGTGAGACAGGAGGAAGATTTTAGGCCGGAGCCAGGTCAGCTGTTTGCTAGAGACCAGGTAACGTCCACGTGATGCCTCTCATGAGTGAGGTAGATGGTCAACCTCTTGCTAGAGGTATCAGGGTGCCCACCCACAGCCCAATGGAAAAGGAGAATGATCTGCCTGGCGCAACAGCACGGGCGGGCTCGAGCACAGGGCTGATTCAGACACACAACGACCCACCAAAATGAACAGGTCGCTCCAAGAAAACTTAGCCTCAGGGAGTGGGACTGGTGCCCGGAGGCCTACACACCACCCGCTTCCCTTGCTTCGAGACACATTAGAAATCAGACTGTCATGGTTACCTACTTCCACAAGTGGAGTTTGCACCTGTCCTGCCCATCAGACATGCTTCATGTCGCCACGGGAATCTGAGGGTGGGTGGGGTGGGAAGAACAGCCCAGAGTGAGTAGTAGATGGGAAGGTACAAGAGGGAGGAGGGAAGGTGGAAGGAGGAGAGAGGCTGCAAAGCAAAAGATTTAAAAGCAGGTGAAGTTTAAAATCCCATCAAGGAGCTGGGGGCGGAGAGGGGGGAGCCCTGCGGGAGTGGGCAGGTGGGGAAGCGAGGCTAGTGGCCATTACTTCCCGTGCAAGTCACTGAGCTCCACGTCATCCTTCCGGCGCTTGTGGGTGAAGAGCGAGGTGACCGGGTAGAGCTTTGCCTTGGCCTGGAACCGGTGTCCCGCGATGTCAATCTCATACTCCCCCCGGTTGATGAAATCTGCTGTCACCACCTGTTCTTCCCCAGTGTCCTCAGAAAAATTGTGCACGAAGCCCAGGCAGACATGGCGCTCCAGGGTGTAGCTGTAGGCACTGCTGGTGGTCTTGCCCGCATACTGCCCGTTGCGGTAAATGGGCTCTCCCCACCATGGCCAGAGGTCCAGGTCGGTGTCGTGATCGTCCAGGATGAACATGGTGAGGCGTTTGTACACCCCATTCTGCTTCTGCTGCAGCAGGGCATCTCGGCCAATGAAGTCCATCCCCTGGGAAAGAAGGGCAAGGCTGACACGGGGCGGCCGTGCTGGAGGCCGCACTCACGCCCCGCGTGGCTTTCCCACCGCATGAAAACCTGCTTTCACCATATTAAAAGACCTCCTCAGAGAACTTCTGTAAAACAGGCATACATTTTTCAGAGTTCAACCACAAGACCACATAGAAAAAAATAGGAAGAAAAATCCTCCGAACGTACTTGCTAGAATTATTTTAGAAAAACTTTTTATATCATCTTGACAAAAAGCCCATGCATATAGGTTTGTACAAGAAACCTCAGCAAGATAGAAACTGAGTGATTATGAACAGGTAAAACGGGTGTTTAATTTTCTTCATACTTTTCCCTATTTTCCAAAATTAATATTCATTACTTTTATAGCAGAGAAAAACCGTTGTAATTGCTCACCGAGAAGACTGGAGGCCTACCGCCCTGCGAGGGAAGGACTGAGAGATTTTGTTCAGCTGTGGTGGAGCAAGCACGTGGAGGGCCGGCTGGGGGCGGGTGGGGAGGGCAGAGCGCAGGCGCCGCTGCTGGGGAGGGCGGGTCGGTGGGGGGCAGGGGTGGGAAAGAGACTCGGCACTAACATCCTCTTGACCTAGGACTTTTTAAAAGAAACGTTCCCATCTACTTTGAAAACACCACAAAAAATGAAGCATTTGAATATGAGGGGAGTACTGTGTACACACGTCTGTGGCACGTTAATGGAGAAGCTTCCCTGGAAGCCCAGCGTCTGCAGGAGCGCCAAGCAGGGCGCCTGGCTGCTTCAGACAGTGGGGCGTGCAGCTCCTGAGCCCAGGGCTGGGGCCAGCGGCGGGAGCCAAGTGCTCACAACCAGTTTCCTCATTAGGACAGACACGTTTCTCCTTCTAAGGACACCATCCTCGACCTTGTCGCCCCACGGCCACCCCTGGCCCTTCCCCTCAGCCCCTTTCTGAGGGAGAGTCGGCTCGGGCGGGGGGGGGCGGGCAGTGGGCTGTGCAGATACAGTACCTTTTCCAGTTTCACCCAAGATTCTCGTCCACATTCCAGGGGGGTGGTGAGGGTATTCAAATCCTGACCCCAGAAGGCAAAAAACTTCTCAATCCGCAGACTACGAAGAGCATAGTAGCCGGCATTCCGGATCCCGTATTTCTGCCCAACACTCATCACCTCGTTGTACACGTGCAGGGCGTACTGGGGGAGGAGACGAAAGGTCAGCGAGCCGCGCACGCTCCGAATTCGACACGGGCTGTGTCTGCAGTGCCAGGGGCGGACCGCCTGCACCCTGACAAGGCAGAGGTGTGTATGAAATTCTCAAGACGTCTCATCCTTGACATAACAAAGCACTGCAGCCCAGGGGTCGTGAGCCAGGGTCACCCCTAACCCCAGTTTAAGCTCCATGAAAGCAGTACCCGTATCCCTTCTCTGTGGGGCCTAGGACAGGGAGCAGTCCTCAAGTGCGGATCCCAGACGCACTCGGACCACCCCATCCGTGGCCAGGCCCCTAACCGCCTCTCCGACAGCCCGCTCCTCTGCCACTTGCTCTTGCCCCACTCGCCACCCCCGTGACCCCTCATGCATGGCCTGTGCTGAAATGTGGGTCACACACAACTCTGTGTACAGTCTGACTTTTCACAGATGATGGCACAGCGGGAGACCCAGATCAAGTCCCAGAGGAGCCAGGAAGGCAGTGCACCCCTACCCGTGTCCCACAACAGCCAGCCTCCCACGGCATTCTCTGCTCAGTTCCAGAAACCATAAGTATCAGACAACTTAAGTAAACGAAGTTTGCCAAACGGAAAGCAAATTTTCAATCCCTACCTAAACACGCTGTGTGGAATCTAAAGCCCAGAACAGACATCATTTGCTTTAAAAACTGTAACACAGACAAAATGATGAGAAATCAGAGAAATATCATACAACTGCACTTCTGAGCAGAATCTAAAACCACAAAGAAACACAAACTCACGGAAAAAGAGACCAGAGTTGTGGTTCGAGAGTTGGGAAATGCAAGGAGGGGAAGTGGAGGAAGGGGGCAGAAGGCACAGACTTCCAGGTCGGAGATAAATGAGAACCAGGGAGGGAGGGAGGGAGGGAGCGAACCACCTGATGGCCCTGGCAGGGACCCTGCTGGGTGACAGATGCGGAAGTTAAGAGAGTGAATCCTAAGTGTCTCCATCACAAGGAACACCCCGTTAGTGCTGCTTATGGCATCTCTGAGAGGAAGGACACTTGTGAAACTGAGCACAGACATTCTTTCACAGGACCTGTCTGTCCACCAGGCCGCGCGCTGAAACCTGACCAATGACGTGTGCCCGTGAAAGCTCAATGAAAGTGGAAAACCAGAAAAACACCCGGCTCCCTGGTGTTGCAGTTCTTCCCGGTGGGGGTGGGGGTGGGGTCCGCTGCCCCGCCAGTCACACTCCTTGGGCTGAGTCGGCATCTACTGAACGGGCCACGGTGGTCAGGACGACGTGACCCGCGGGAAGAGCCCCTAGAAGAGCCCCCGTGCTACCGAATCTGCACACAGCTGTGGCGTGTGTACGCGTGAGCCAGGCACCTGAATGGGGGCGGGGGGGGGGGACACTGACATGGAAACGAGATGAATAAAGGGCCCGCATCCCTGGTGCCTTCCATTCAGTGCTTTCCGGTCTCAAGCTGAATACTGGAGTTAAGAGGAAGGCCAGGGAAGAAAGATTTAAAGCAGGTAACTAGTCTTGGGTTAGGTGAGAAAACTCCCCAGCATGTACTCATTTTCTAAGTGCTGGGGATTTAGTGTGAACAGAACAAGAATCTGCCATTTGCCACCATGTTTTCGAAGACATTTCCCTCAAAGAGACAAGTATAGTTGACTAGTTCACATGGGCTTGAACTGCGTGGGTCTCACTTCTACGTGGATTTTGCCATACAGTACAGGGCCATAAATGTATTTTCCTTAGGATTTTACTAACACTTTCTTTTCTCTAGCTTCCTAGATTGTAAGACGACAGTACACAATACGTGGAGCACACAGAATATGTATCAATCAACTCCTTATGTGATCAGTGAGGCTTCCAGTCAACAGTAAGCTATCAGTAGGTAAGGTTTTTGAGGAGTCAAAAGTTCTATGTGGAGCTTTGAGTGGGTGGGTGCCCCTGACCCCACGTCATTCAAGGGTCAATTGTATAACCTTCTTGAGGACAAAAGCCAGCTTGAAAAGAACCCAGGCATGGCACAAATCACCTCTTGGGCTCATGGAAAATCATAAAAACGGGACCAGCCCAGGATAATCAGAAGTAGAAACCAAGGCCTCAAGTAATGAAGTTGCTGGAGCCACAGAGCCTCCCCCTCTTCATCGGGTTTGGCCAATTTATGACACAGGCACCCAGGTGGCAAATTCAGACTCGATCCTTACCTGTACAGGCACGAGTCAACCACCTCTGTATCAACTCTTCCCAAATCGTGAGTAATCCCTTCATCTTAACATTGTTATATTTGTCTAGACAAGCACATAAAGTTCCATGGGATGGTAAATGCATGCTTCAGCTAATAACTAAAACAAAGCCTAAAGCTGTAAGTAACGTGACTAACATCAAGAACAAGACAATGATGCCTAGGATCCCTATGTCTTGTCACAACTGGACAAGAGAAATTGTAGGAATAAAAGTTAAGAAAAAACTTACTGTGTGTATTTAAGATTGGACCCTGAAAATTCCAGGGATTCAACTAAAAAACAACTATAAGATAATTAGTAAGAAATAAAGACTACAATAGAAAAAATAGCTTTCAAAAATCACAATCACTTTGGGGTGCCTGGGTGGCTCAGTTGGTTAAATCTCTGCCTTCAGCTCAGAGTCCTGGGATTCAGCCCTGCAACTGGCTCCTGGCTCAGCTCCGCCCCCCCACCCCTCCCCCACCTGTGCTCTTAAATAATAAAATCTTCAAAAAAAATCATAATCAGAAGATAATGGAACAAAGATACCCTTCTCATTCACAACAGCAACCACAAAATATTATAACATCTATATGAAGAAAACTTAAAAATACCTCTGAAAGGTCACCAAAAAGCTTAAATAAAAACTAAAAGGCATGGGTGCCGGGGTGGCTCAGTTGGTTAAGTGACTGCCTTTGGCTCAGGTCATGATCCTGGAGTCCCAGGATCGAGTCCCACATCGGGCTCCCTGCTCAGCAGGGAGTCTGCTTCTCCCTCTGACCCTCTTCCCTCTCGTGCTATCTCTCATTCTCTCTCAAATAAATAAAATCTTTAAAAAAAAAACTAAAAGGCATTCTTTGTAAGATTCAATACATCATGTCAGTTCTTCCTAATATATAAATGTAACATAATCCAAAAAAATGCAATCAGTGTTTCTAACTAGATAATTATAGTTTCCAGGGGGAAATAAGGAAACATGGTTTCCTTCCAGAGTTTTCCAAGCTATGAAGGAGATAAGTGCAACCAAATATTAAAATACATGATAAAGACTCAGTAATTAAAACAGTGTGATCTTGATTATGGATAGAGCAAGGGAACAGAATGGAAGCCCAGAAATAAACCCAAATACACAGAGGAATTTAGGATCTGGTAAGGGTAGAATGCCAAATCATTGGTTATCCATATGGAAAAAAAAGTCTGATCCCTATCTCATGAAGGAAGTACAGCAAGAGACACTGCAAAAGGATGGAGGATTGAAATATTCTTAAAAAACCACAAACCCATACAACAGAACAAGTATAAAAGCACTAGAAGAAAACTGAAAAAATTTTATAATCCTGGAGTACAGAAGTCCCCTCTATGCATCAAACTCTAGAAGGCATAAAAGATCAACTCAATTACATAAAAATTGAAATAATTTATGCAACATATGAAACATTTCTCATAATTAAAAAACAAAACCTATGTGGCAAAAAAAAAGACAAAACGACAAACTGGGGGGCACCTGGGTGGCTCAGTGGTTAAAGCCTCCAATTCTTGGTTTCAGCTCAGGTCACGATCTCAGGGTTTTGAGATCAAGTCCCACATTGGTCTCTACGCTCAGTGCTGAGTCGGCCTGAGACTCTCTCCCCCTCTGCCCGTCCCCACTTGTGCACACACTCTAAAATAAAATCCTCCAAAAAAAGACAAATGACAAACTGGGATACACCTCAACAGCAAGGACTGATTCAGACGATGCCTAGAAATTGGTAAAAAGACCAATCATGCAATACAAAAATGCACAAACGGTATGACCAGAACATTCATCCATGCAACATTAAGCAATTACTATGTGCCAACTACTTCGGTAGGTGCTGGGGATATAAAAGTTAAATATTCCTGCCTTCAGAGAACTTACATTTAAATAAGGGTAATCTGATGAACGAAATAAAATACATTTTATCAGACAGTGATAAGCCTGTGGAGCAAAACAACACAGGGAAAGCGGAGTGGGAGAGCCGGGGGTGGGGGTGGTGGCTGCGCCCGTAAGGCCTCATCCAGAAGATGCCATGTGAACAAGCCCTGAAGCAGGTGCAGCTGTGAGAGCCTCTCTCTGGGGGAAGGCCAGGCCAGGGAAGGGAAGAGCGAGTGCGAAGCCCCTGACGCTGGAGCAGCAGCGTGTTCAAGGACTGGCGAGCGGAAGAGGCAGAGGAGGCAGGATAAGGTCAGAAGAACGGGATGGGGCACAGGCAGGCAGGAGTGCGTAGGTCCTACTGATGAGCTTTTACTCGGAAATGGGTTCTAAAACATCGCTTCCTCTCACACACAGCAGAGCGCACTGACAGTGCCGTACCTATCGGCCGAAGGGAGAAAGCGGCGCTGGTACGCGCACGCACGTGCCACAGGGAGACACTCGTACACACAACTTCTTGTAACAGCAAAGGACTATGAAGCGCTACAACCACAAATGTCTATTAGTACCAGGCTGATCACGTAAATTATGATTCGACGATGTGAAGGAATACTAACCAGTGTTAAAAAATGAGGAGGAAGCTCTTCTCTTTAGGTACTGACTACAATAAATTATTAAGAGATCACGAAGAACATCAGTATGCTTCCAACTGTGTTTCTAAAAAAGGGTTAAGAGTGTGTTTGAACTTGCTTGCATATGCACAGAAATCTCCGACATGACCTACAAAAACTAATAGTTGTATCATTAGTGGTGGTTGGTGGGAACTGGTCAGGTGGCACTAAATCCTTCCTATAGATTCTGATTTTTAAACCATGTAAATGCATTTCCTATTCAAAAAGGAAATAACTTAGTTCAAAATGTTGAAGTCCCTCTATTGCAGCCTATCTCAATTCCCAAGGCCCGGTCAGATCCGGCTCTCCAACCCTGCCAGTGCCCAGCAGGCTTGGGAAAGCCAGCCACTTTCCTCCAGGAGGCTCACCTCTATGGGGATATAAAGCATGAATCCCGGCTCTCCTGTGTGAGTCATGCTCATCACCCGGATGCCATTCGCGTAGCCCACACTCATCTCCTGTGGAAGCAAAGGGAGAAGTTGAGTATGGAGACTCTTCAGAGGAAGTGAGCACTCCACGTCTGTTAAAGTGATGACCACCTGAGGTAAACCCCTCCCATTAGCTCTGCACCCTCTGACCCTAAAGGAGATATATGTGAATGAAAGAAAATGCATCCTCAAAGTGGTCTGTTTCCAAGTACTGGGGTCACCAGGGATGGAGTACTGTCTCCGTAATCTCTCTTCTGATGAATACCACCATTTCAGGAGGGCCAGCCAAGCTGCTGGTGGGAAGTGGAGGCAAAGTCTTTATAAGGATGAAACATTTTTCACAAAATCCTGCTAAAGATTTGTTAGGGGCATGAGGAGCAACGAAGACCAGGTAAATGTCTTCTCCGGGGAATCTGGCAAGTCCTGGGCACCCGTCCGACAAAAGAGGACACCTGATGGCCACAGAACACAGTGCACCTGCTACTCTGGGGTCAGAGGGTGGGCTTCTAATGCTCAACACATGTTCACGGTGGCTCAGTTATCTAACAGGCCTCTGACACAATCACTATTCTTACTGGCAGGTCCCAGATGGCACTGTAGCAACCTACCCCCACAGGGAGCCCAACACGACACACTACTCTGTAGGCTCATGCACGTGGATTTCTCCTGCAGGAAGCAAACCATGCAGGCGAGGGTCTGCTGATGGCTAACGGTCAGTTTTCTTTTGCTTTCACTCCGCCATGGAGAAAAAGGAAAACTGTACAGTCAGTAGGCAGATCCCAGCTTGGGTTTGAACTTCCGAGAGCCTCCATCAGGAACTGTCCCCCAGCTGTTTGATACAGGTTGCCAAACCACTGGTCTGTTTGGACCTCTCTCAGCAGTATTCAGTTGCCGTTTCTCTTACTCAGTTACAAGTTGCTACTGTTGCCAAATATAAGAAACTTACATAAGCTCTTCAGGGATTCACCTAAACTGCTGCTCACCTAGAGATGCCAGTACACAGAAGTTACCCTGTGAAGGGAAAGGGAGAAGCACTGCATGGAGAGGGGACCTGACCTTAACTAGAATGTTTTGGCATCCATGGCATAATCCTTTAATTTACAAAATTTAATCCACTGCTACACAAAGCAATAAATATATAGGGCTGATACTCATAGAAGTTAAATCCACTTCAAAGATATCCTAATGCTTACTGAATAGGGAGACCTGGAAGGGTGAAAAATAAATTTACTCATTTTGTTTGCTTAATGAAAACCACAACACCCTTTGTGGGCACTGATGCTGTAGTAAGAACATGTAATTGCCATCCCTATAAAAGAAATAATCCCTACTCATTTAAAAAACTAAAACTTTATTAGCACCCACCTTGCAAAACAGACTTGGGAAGTGGTCTGGAGTCATAGGGGCATAGGACAGCTCAGACAGCACATCCACAGCTCGGGGACCGATCAGATTGAGGGCTAAACAGAAAAGAACAAGAGATGCCAGTCAAGGTAACAGCTGAGCGCCCAAGAGCAAAGTCTGTTTTGGACTTGCTCCCTTACTGCCAGGCGGTGTTGAGACCGTGACAGAAACCCTTTGCTCAGGCAACCCAAGGATGGACAGAGAGCACTTCCATTCTGGCAAACACACCCCTCGACAGACCTGCTAAGTGCAGCTCCCGCCTGCTGGCAGGGCGTGCCTGGTAAGCGGGCTGCCTCCTGCCGGGTACACCGGCAGACAGCACCCCACAGCCTCCTTGGCTGTGACACCGGGGTCGTGCGAACATGTCCTGGCCCATGAGAGGAGCCTGCTTCCAGGCCTGGCCACGAACTCCCCGCACAGTTCCCACTGCCTCCCACTTCCCAGTGCTGCCACAGGACGAGAAGAGCCCACTCCCAAATCTGCACTGGGAGGAGAGCCCTGAGGAGAGCCACCCAACCACCCTGGAGTCCATCATGTGACGGCAGCTTGTGGTAACTGCACGTCAGCTGCCCTCACGCGCTAGACAGCTTTGCTTCCACAGTCTGCCAGTCTGGTGGCAAAAAGGAAAACATGGTTGGTGCCATGATGAATTGGCAGTGAGGGCCTGTTGGGGACAAGCGCAGGTGTCAGTGAAGTGGGAGGGGCAGGTCTTAAACCGAGAATGTGGACTTGGGCGGGGGGGGGCTGCTCCCCCAGAGGACTGCTGAAGAGGAGACGATCAGGAAATTAAGTCATTCCCAAAAATTATTCACTCACTTAAAAAAAGCTAAGGGAAAATTTTGAAGAAAATAATACTTAAGCAATAAATTAAAAAATACTTTTCTGGGCACCTGAGTGGTGCAGTTGGTTGGGCATCCGACTCTTGATTTCATCTCAGGTCACAATCTCAGGGTTGTGAGATCAGGGCCCGTGTTGGGCTCAGTGCTCAGCATGGAGTCCGCTGATACATCCTTTTTTTTTTTTTTTTTTTAAGATATTATTTATTTGACAGAGAGACAGCAAGAAAGAGAATACAAGCAGGAGGAGTGGGAAAGGGAGAAGCTTCCTGCCGAGCAGGGAGCCCGATGCAGGGCTGGATCCCAGGACCCTGGGATCATGACCTGAGCCGAAGGCAGATGCTTAACGACTGAGCCACCCAGGCGCCCTGATCAATCTTTTTTAAAGGAAGATTTATCTATTTTAGAGAGAGACAGTGCATGCACGCCAGAGGGAGGAAGGGCAGAGGGAGGGAGAGAAAGAATCTCAAGCAGACTCCACGATGAGCCCGACGCAGGGCCTGATCTTCCAACCCTGAGATCATGACCTAAGACGAGATCAAGAGTTGGATGCCCAACCAACTGTGCCACCCAGGTGCCTCGTCAGATAGATAGATACATGAAATCTTTAAAAAAAAAATACTTTCCCATTCATTCAACCAATATTTGCACTCCTCCATGCTGGCTACAGGGGATATAGCAGTGAACAAAACAAACCAAAACTAAAGCACAACTCACTCCACACCTCACTGACAAAAACGTGGGTATTAGAGATCAATGTTGTGCGACCAGAAAACCTCTTGCACGCCTCTCACTCTGACCCCCATTTCTGAATGTCAAATAGAAGGCAAATGGAGAAGACAAATCTGGACAGGCTGGCCTTTTCCTGTGAAGCTGACCCCAGAGGCCCACTGACCAGTGTATTTCCAGGTGACATCCTCCAGAAGCAGGTTGCTGTCTTCCGGCATGTGTTTCTTAAGCCAGGCCCAACAGTGCACCTGCTGGTCGGTGGGGGAAATCATGAAGAAACTGAAAGGGAGATGGAGAGTAATCAAAGCCAGGCAGCAGAGAAAGGGTCAGGAAGCAGGCAGGTTAACTCATTTCAAAGCAACCAATGAGCAGAAGACCAGCAAGTGGACTCCTAGCTTTCAGAGAGGGCCAGCAGGGCCTAATTCCAGGATCTACCGCGTAAGGACAAAACAGAAGACTTCGGCTTCCTGTCGGTGCCAAGAGAGCATACAGACCTACTATCGTAAGCGAACATCTCCGCCCCCTAGGGTGACTGCTCTGTCCACATAGAGTTTTATATAATCTGTGGTGGTTTCTTCTCTTTTCCTTCCCTTGTGATTTCCATCTGTACTGCACTGCCAATGGACAGGCCGTGAGTGACTGAAACCTCCTTGTCCCCGGGTAATCGGCTCTGCCGCACGGTGTGGGGGGGCGGCCGCGGGCCTCACCTGCGCTTGCCCAGGCGCGCGATGCTGCAGTCGTTCTCATAGCCCCCGGCCTGGTTGAGCATGCCGGTGTGCACGATGTGGCCCACGGGCACATCCAGGTCGTTGGAGAAGAGGTACTGTAGGACTTCCAGTGCCTGGTCCCCAGCGGACTGCAGGGTTAGGGAACAAAGCAGACAGCGTGAGCTCCAGAGCACATGGCCGATGACACGGTCTGACGGACGGCGTGACTGAGGAGACTCCCTTCGTCAGTCCCCGGGCAGCAATGTCTGCAGATTTACTCCACCACAAGAAGCTCTAGAGAAAGCTAGCTCTTGAGTTGAATGGTAAATGGGCCTCTGCAAGCAGATTACAACCCAGAAACAGCTGAAAATGTAGAAAAATGCTGTAATACAGATAAAACACTAAAATATACCAGAGTCCTTACGGAAGCAGTTTTAAAGTAACAGATGAAAAACGGGGGGCATTCAATGAATATGCAAAGGTTCCTAATCTCTTCTTTTGGTTCCCAAGCACTTACCGTTATTTCAAACTTTGTGAAAGAAGACATGTCAATGACACACACAGCTTCCTTGCAGCACTTGACTTCAGACTCCACAATGTCAAACCAGTCTGGCTTATAGAACGTCTTGCTCTGCTCCAATGCCAGGAGGTCTGTGGACCAGAAAACAACAAAAGGAAGAGAGAAAAGGAGATTTATATTGCGGGCCCTCCATGTATAGCTTAGTAGAGTGTGACAGGTTTTTCTTATTTATTCTTCTAGGAACACATTCTAGCTATAATACATTTTAAATGGGTTTTATTGGTTAAGGCAAAAAGGAACAAAAATGAGAATGGGCCTTTTTACCCTTGTCCGGTGGCACAAAGTACTTCGGCCTCTCAAATCCATGTTTCTCCATCCACCTGGCTCCTTGTGCATCCAGCCGGTCATAGAGAGGAGAGGTGCGTAACTGCCTCCCGGTCTGGAAGTCCCAACGGGGAACCTTCAGATCGTACAGCAGAGCTGGAACAGATAAGGACAGTCTCTGCTAGCTCAAACCACAGGGCAGAGAACACAGCATCCACGAGAATCGGGACTTGCTCCTATTCACAAAAGCACACTCTCCAGGCTAACAGGGCCTAATACGGAAATGGTACCCGGTGTAACAAGCCGGCTCCAAAAGAAAGACAAAGGCTGCAAGAGCTGCTATCATCCCTCCATAGTTACACAGCTGTGAGTCACAGAGCAGCTCCAGGTCTCTGTTCACAATCATCGTTTCGAATCAGTAGGCAGAAACAACAGCAGACTTCCACAGCAGAGAGCAAGGCTGCATGGCCAGAGCACACGGGGAGTGACAACATGTGAAAACATGGCAAGTGCTTCCTTACCAGGGCCCGAGTCGCTGAGACCTCAGAACTGTTACAGACCTCTCTCTCTGACATCTAACCTGTTTCCCAAGTGAAAGGGCACACAGCATACCCTGATTTGGTGCCTCTGAAATCGGACAGGTTGCATAGTCCTGACCCAGTGACATATTCATATAACAAAGCTAGGGTCAGAATTTACTTCTCCTAGGGTCTAATTTGCAACAGCAAGATGTAAAAACAGCCAGAGTGTGAGCTCGAGTCCCTTGCACAGAGAAAACCTGACCTCATGGCATTCCACACAAGAGGGACAGTGGGGCGGCGGGGGGGGGGGGGGAGGCTGAGAGAGTCAAGAGAAGGGAGCCGCACTGCTTGCCTTATCTTGTGACGATTCTTCAGTCTCCTCTCACACTTAAGGTCCTACTTACCCTTTCCCCACTTTCTGTCGTGCCTGCGATTCCTGTTATGTGAGAATCGGAGGCGGCCACCGTGTCATGTCATCAAAGAGAAACTTAAGCTCCATTATGATTTGCACAGGTTCTAAAGTAACTATGGCTGGAAAAGTCAGGACTTATAGCAGTTCAACATTTTAACCAAAATAATTGTTAAAATTAAAGAACCTTAGTGGCCACCCACACTGCTGCCAGGCCCTCTGTCTCCCACAGACGGTTCTCTGCCCCAGGCCAGAAGTGAGCACACAGGTGCTGAAGGTTATCCGTTATCCAAAAGCCCCATCGTGAATGGAACCCCCTGCTACTAAACCAACAGTTCACTGTTAATCAAGAATGGTGCTCACAGCCAATGTAGAAACTTGGCTGTGAGCATAAATATGCCCCAAATATTTAGGAATATTTTGGCAAAGTCTCAGAATAATTGTTCCTCAGTATAGGGCAGTGAAATGACAGTCTGATTTGGTTCAATTCCTGATACAAAAGCTGACCCTAAGGGTTTACTTAGAAAGTAAATCAGAGACAAGGTAGAGTACCAAGTTAAAAAGAGGCCTTCAAAGCTGGAGGAAAGAACAAGGAGAACAGAAACGTATGTTTTGTATTTACACAAGAAGTGGTTTCCTATCTTGTTAGCACGTAACAGTTAATGCCAAAAATCACTCAGAGAAGCTTGAAGCTCTGAGAATAACGTGGCAAATTCTCTGCCCTGGAAAACAAATCATGATCTCAAAGATCAAGCAGGGAGTGAGACCATTCACCCGGTACGGGGGCTTCTGCAGGCACAGTGGAAAGCAGACAACACTAGGCATCCAAAAGGAGCTGCCGAGGGGAGGTGGACAGCAACTACCACCCGGAAGGCCTATTCTTCCTAGTCCCAGTGGTAAATAAAAGACAATATACTAAAGAGAAGGTTCCATAAATACCACATGGGGCCTAATGCCTCAACCAAACATAAGAAGCTCGACTCGGAGCAATTGGGAATGAGCTCCACTCACGCATGACTTCCATGACCCGGTGGCGCAGAAAGGTGCGGCTGCTCTGGAGGGCTCCAAAACGCTTCAGGTCCAGCTCCCAGATGTTTTCAGATGGGTAACCATGCACCATCCATTCAGCGAGGTACCTGTTTAGATGTGGGGGAAGTTGCTAGACCTCGGATGGGACACTCTCCTAACTGTACGAGGAATGAAGAACCAACAGAAACATCCCATCTTGTCACAGACTGGCTGAGAAATTCTGGGCCATTTCCTTAACTTTTCTGAACAAACATGGATCCATCTATTACTCTCAAAACTGCTGATGATTTTAGCTCTAATAAGATTCCCTAGAAAGTGCTATAAAGCAAGCCACATCTATGAAAAAAGACTAAAATATACAAATGTACTCTAATTTATCCATCCAGTGGTTTTTTTCTGGAAAACTCTCGGAGGTTATACAACTATCTGACACATCTCAGCTCCAAACACTTTTGGTAACTCCTCTTCCATAACTGTTTTCAGAGCCATTCTACAAGTCACTCAAGAAAAATGGCCTCATGAATAAAAAATTAAAAAATTTAATTGTGGTAAAATACACAGAACATGACAGAACATAGAACATAAAATTGACCATCTTAATCATTTTCACGTGTGAGGTTCAGGGGGCATTAAGTACTTCAACACTGCTATGTGACTGTCACCACCATCATCTCTCCAGAACTCTCCATCTTCCCCAACTGAAACTCTCTCCATGAAGCCAGCAGTCCTTCTCCACTCCGCTGCCCCGGCCCTGGCAGCCACCCCGGCACTCCAAAGTAGCTCAGAGAAGTACAACCACACAGTACTTGTCCTTTCTGACTGGCTGATTTTAATTAGTATGTAATTTTTTTTAAAAGACTTGTATTACTCAACATGATCATAGGTCTCACTCACAGTACTGTTTCCAAACTCAAATGTACTCAAAGGATCAACATTTGTAACCACTGCAAAAGCCAAACAGTACATCTCGTGGGCTTCGAGACTAATTCCAAAAGAAGAGTTCCCAAAACATTGTGCACAATGACACTTCTGGAATATCCCACAGTGATTACTTTGAAGGGGACAACTCTCAAATTATGTGTACCTCCTCATTATTAACATACCAGATTACATACATCCATTACACGCCACATCAGCAACAGGGAACTCTAGGAAGGAAGCACCCAGCAAGCAGGGTCTGAGCAAGGAAGACTTACCTTCCAGCCCCTCCACCAAATGAAAGGCCAGCAGAGTTCATTCCCGCCAGCACAAAATAGCCCTGAACTGAAGGAGACTCGCCCATGATGCACCTCATGTCTGGGGTGAAGGTCTCAGGGCAGTTCACCAACTTCAGGATCTCCAGAGTCTCCAGGTCTGGCATGCGACGCAGGAGGGAACTCAGCAGGGGCTCTAAGCCATAAAAACAAAGCCAAACACAGGCCTCAGCTTTAGGGAATTCAAACTCTTCCGCTCCTTATGTTTCCCGACTCCCTCTCCTCAGAAAATCTCCTGGAAGAGGCTTTCTCAGATGAGCCAAATGGGCCCTGATCAGAAAGCAGAAACCGTGGTAGAATTAAGGGATAAACCTACGAAGTGCTTGGCATAAAGACATAGAAAAAAGACACTCTTTAGAAAGGCCAGGAGCTGTGGAAGGGCACACAACACACGGGAGGAGATAAGATTTCCACGGTATCGGTACTTGGGGAAAAGCTCTTCCGCGGCACCCGAGGAGACATGCAATCAAAGCAAGGATTTCCCAAGTTGGAACAGCTGCAAAAGACAGGTCCCCAGCCTGTCTGAAAGTCAGCCCGTCATCCGGAAATTATTCCAGGGGGACACTGGCAACAGATGAAACCAGACTGAAGCTGGCTGGTGGGTACACAGAGGGTTCTGTGTACTATTCTCTCTACTTTTAAGTGTCTGAAATCTCCCACAATAAAAAGTTTATTTTTAAAAAACGCCCAGGGCGCCTGGGTGGCTCAGTTGGTTAAGCGACTGCCTTCGGCTCAGGTCGTGATCCCGGAGTCCCGGGATCGAGTCCCACATCGGGCTCCCTGCTTGGCGGGGGGTCTGCTTCTCCCTCTGACCCTCTTCCTTTTCGTGCTCTCATTCTCTCTCAAATAGATAAAATCTTTAAAAAAAAATAAAAATAAAAAAAAATAAAAAACGCCCATTAAGGGTGGGAGGGGGAACTCTTCATTATAGACCCCTTCGTATCTTTGGAATCTGGACCCTGGGACTGTATTAACTATCCAGGAAATAAAAATAAATTACAAAATCAAGTAGCATATAAATACCGACTATGATGTACACCTGAAACTAATACAGTATCATAGGTCAGTTTTTCAATAAAAACAAAAACCAACTAAAAGACCGTATTAACAAAACGATTCTACTTTCTAAAAATTTCTTCAATCTTACATGCTGTCCTACAAAACGGTTTCTTCCTAGCCTAGAATTTCAGCAGTGGTTTTAGATAATAAGCCAGAAGTCCCTTAACCAAGATCTTCGTCCCCAGAATCTGCTGCCCAGTAACTGCAGCCTTAGGTAAACTCTGCAGGCTGCCCTCTGTAAGCGCCTCATGGGGCTGTTAAAAAGATCAAAGAAGGAACTCTTCCTGAAAATGCTTCAAAAAGATAACATCTTAGACAAACACAGGGCATTATAGTTATCCTCCAGTTTGCACACCAAAGTGATCCCAGTCTTCCTGCAGATTCTGAATCTCCAGCTGGTTCTTGCCCTCAGTGAAGATTGGCTTCGGGTTCTTCTCAAAGCCCCCAGACAAGATGCCACCCTGCCAGTTCCGGATAAAAATTCTTCCATCAGCATCCACAACAGCTAAGGAAGAGAAACAACACGGAAGTGGGGGACAGAAAAGCAAGGTTTAGAGGTAGGCCAGCTTTCTAAATGGACAGAAAAAGCAGAACAAGGACAGCCATTATTGGCTTTATTAGCAAAAAAGCATCCAGTGAATGCAGACCTTTTGAGGTCGTGGGGGTGGGGAATCTGCCCCCTCAGATTTACAGGGGACCCTGTTTCTCTGATCAGTTACCTAGAAGCTCTGACTGGTGCTCGCAACCAAACTACGGAACTGCCGCAGTGCCACATGAAAGCCTAGCAGAAAGGGGGACTGCGAGCCCATTCTAGGGGTTAAGACCTTCCAGGTGATGTCAAGCCCTTTCCTGTGGCACTCAGGGTCGTGGAGCAACCTCACTGTAGCTTACCTGTCTGCAACGTATGCCATTCAAGTCAAAACTCCAGGTTACATTCCAAATATTCTCAATTTGGACCTCTGTGTGGGACTGCAATTAACTTACAAAACAAACCAAAAAATTGCTTCAGTGGAATGCCCGTTTTGTCCATCCTTTCATAAAGAGTTCTTAGACAAAAGGTAGAACTGGGTCGGCCTCCCCGTAACACGCTCCAGAAGAGACGAGGCTCTTTGGAGCACAGTCTATCCTGAGCAGAAAGTCTTCCTTTTCAGAAGACAGGACAGTGGGAAGGAAACATGATTAAAAACAAAGTGTAAGTCCTCACTTGGTGTGTTGCTCCGCAGAGGAGTCTCCAAGGGGCGAGTCAGAAGGTAGAAGTGTTCGCAGGCATGTAACGGGATACTAACCGGCTCCTCGTTGGACAGACCCAGCTCGTATGCCCACTACAAATGGACAAATTGATCCGTGCGTGGGAAGAGGAACAGAAAGACAAATGAGCATATTCAGCCGCTTGCAAGAGTTTAACTGCAAGCGGTCTGTGTGTGCTCTTGCCCCAACGTGAGGCATGGGAAGCCAAGGTTCAGACTGCTTTAGTTATGTGGATGGGGAGCAACACAGTCCTTTTTAAACCATAACAATTATTCTTAGACCAAAGAACAAGAGATTCAGCAACTAGTAAAAGGAGCTCATTGGGGGGCAAGTGATGCCCTGTTAACAAAACTGGCCTCAACTACAAACCCCAGATCCCGTCACATGTGACGTCTGCAAGGCAAAAAGTACCCCTAGGTCAGTAGAAGCAGCTTAGTGTTCCTAACTGAATCCACACTCCTTACACAAAAAAATAGCCCCATGCTTTATTTGCTAGGTTGCAGGATGAAATGAAACACCAGAGAAGACCCAACGCCAAGGATTTCTGTCAATGCCCTACTATTTTGCAGACTTCCTGGCACCGTTTAACCCAGGGTGAAGGAAGGAAAAGGTCATCACTGGTGCTCCTCTGTGAGGACTAGCTACAGGCCTCTGATTTAGAATACAGGAATTCTGAGGTTTCTAGTCCAAAGAAGGAACAGGAGGTCCCTGACGTCTGCTTAATTCATCACAGTATTAACCTTACATCTCCATACCTAAAATCCCAGAGGTAAAAGTGAAGTGAGAAAATCAGTGACTCAGTACTTTTGCTAACCTACCTGACCAGCACAGTTGACAAAATACTGGCACTCGATCTGTCCTTTATCTGTCTCCACAGCAGTAACCTGACCTTTCTTGACCATTACATGAAGAATGCTGGTCCGGTCATAGATCTGAACACCTGTTCGAAGGTAAAGAAAGAGTTGGTGCATTCATCCTTTGATGGCCCAGAATTAAGGCCTCTGCAGCAGATTCTTAACCCCCGAGAAATGCTGAAAAAGCCAAGGCAGTGTTTTATTTAAAAAAAAAAAAACAAAAATTCCCAGGAACCACATCCTAAGACTGTGTCAATGAGCCTATTCCAAGACTGAAAACAGCAGACAACTTTAGTACACAACTCAATTCCAGGAATCATAAAACGGGCAGGGGAGAAAGAGTTCAAATAAGGCATCTTAAACCCTAATCCACCCACACCGGGAATCAGTTCATCCAAAGTACAGAGCACCTTGGACACTGGTTAGTCTTCCCCTCATTCATTCCAACCCCAGGACATGACCAGCTGTGGATTCAGTCTTCTGACCTTGGAGCTTCTCATGTTGGGGGCAGGGGGGATTCCCATGAGCTTGAAGTACACTGGTCAGTACTAAAAGCAGTTCCTTAGAACTTTAATAAGGAAAATGTGGCCCTGAGGAAAAACACTTATTAACAGAGAGCATATTCAAACAAAATTCTAAGAGCCAGTGTTCAAGAACGGAAGCTGAGCTGGCGTCACTGCCGGCTGTGAGACACCTTCTTCCATAACCTCTTCCTTCTTTACCCAGAAACCTGCTTACCATTTTGGGAGGCAGCACTTGCCAGGGCAAGAGCCACATCAGCAGAGGACACTACGGCATCCTCGGGAACATGCATGGCCCCCACCAGGTCGTGCACGTTGAGGAGAGGGTGAAGTTCGGCGACTTTCTTGGGGGAGATGATCTCAGAAGGGATGCCTATGACACTGCCGCAGAACACAAGGGGACAATGACATGCATGGCCCTCTGGCAGAGGTCAGTCTGACAGGAGCATTGGGACAGGCTTCTAGCCTCATACGTACTTCAGTCTTGAGTTGATGCGCTTCAGGGAGATCAGCCGGTCCTGAGTTTGGGCCAGAAAGACTGAGCCTGTCCTTATGTAACCTGTAAGGAAAACCAGCCCAGACTGAGCAGCCCAGGCCCCCTGCAGGGGCCAGGCGGGCGAGCCCACTAGACTACAAGTTCAAAGAGCGGTGAGGAGTCCTGGCACTGACACCATCCAGACATACTCAGCTGGATTTGGGGAGGATCAAGTGGGATTTTCATGTACATCTTAAATAATCACTCTTAAACACCAGAGATACTGTTGCTACAAAGCCTTTTGGAAGGGAATGTACCCCAAAACCCATCTTTCCCCCCATGGTTTCAGTGGGACTGTGACCCCCGATGCAGGCCACTCACAACATCGGCGCGGGGCGGAGTCCGCCCTGGGCAGAGCCAGTGGGCATGTGACCAAAGCTCAGCCAATCAGACCCTCCCGGGATACCGGGTCTGGAGCAAGCAGCTGAATGGCTGGAGGCTGATCATCTCAGGAGCAGCGGCGCCCTGGCCAGATGGGGCCTGTTTCCCCTGAGGGGCTGCCTGCTGTGGGTCCCCCCTGGTCCGGCCTCCATGCTGCCTCCTCCAGCTGGCAGCCTTCTGCCAACTCGACTGGCTCCAAAAGCCTTCCAACAAACTCTTTTGCCCCAGTTGGCTGGAGTCGACTCCTGCTCTTTGCAATCAACATACCTGACACAACCTTGATCACGCTTGGGTTAATGACAATCTTCCTAACAAGCAGTGACTCTCAGTTCTGATGATGAAAAAGCTGAATCAATCAGGGTATCTTTTTTAAAAGGCAGCACAGGAGGGTCACTTAAATGTTTTTCTCATCTCTTTTGAAATCATCAGGTAAATATGCCCTTCCCTGACAAGAATGTCTCCGTTTGGAGAACTGAAATTTCAGAGACTGGTTTTTAAAAACTGTAGACAGGGGCGCCTGGGTGGCTTAGTCGTTAAGCGTCTGCCTTCAGCTCGGGTCATGATCCCAGGGCCCTGGGATCCAGCCCCGCGTCAGGCTCCCTGCTCGGCGGGGAACCTGCTTCTCCCTCTTCCACTCCCCCTGCCCGTGTTCCCTCTCTCGCTGTGTCTTTGTCAAATAAATGAATAAAATCTTTAAAAAAAATAAAAAATAAAAAAAAAAAACTGTAGACAGACCAGGCCAGTGCAGTGATCGTGACCAGTGATGTAGGGGGCTTATCACACTCTGAGTCTCACCTGCAGACAAAGGCTTGAGCAGTCACTTCCCAATCACTACCAAACAGTCCCCCTGGGAGGACAGGGCCACTATGCACGAGGCAACATAACACATCATGGCACACCCATGAGGTCAAATCATGCTCTTCCAAACAGAACCACCAGCCATAACAAAAGCCTATCACCAGTACACAAGAGTAACACTCTACTGTCTTCCCAGAGAGGCCTTGTAAAGTTTGGTCTAGAGCTTTCTGACATAAAATTTCCTTTATCACAGGTTCAAACCAATAAAATAGAACTCTTAAGTTCAGTAAGAAAAGAAGGTAGACATCTGATATTAAAAAACAAGTCAGAGAAGAAATATGAATGGCCAAAAGACCTATGAAATAACGTTTAACTGAAAAAGATGCAAATTGGAATCTGGTAACTTTTTCCATCTCTCAGATTAGTAATAATGAAAATAATACCCAATGCTGGGGCGCCTGGCTGGCTCAGTCGGTAGAGCATGCGACTCTTGATCTCGGGGCCATGAGTTCGAGCCTCGTGTTGGGCATAGAGATTACTTAACAAAAAAGTAGAATGAAAAATAAAACAATATACAATGTTGAGAAAACTAAAGAAATAAGCACTCTCATATACTGGTGGTAAGAGGGGGCAGCTCTTTTGGAGGATGATCTGGCAATACCTATCAGAGTTGAAAATACGAACACTTTTTGCTTAAATTATCAACCTTCTAGAAATCCTTTAGAACTAGCAACAGAAAACAAATATATACTGACAAGGATCTATACTGCATCATTATAACAACAAAAAAGGAACTATAAACATCAGGTAATGGGAAACGGATAAAGAAAAGTGCACATACTATGGCAACTTCCTCTCCAGTTATAAAAAGCAGAATTTTTTAAAGATTTTACTCATTTATGGGGCACCTGGGTGGCTCAGTCGTTAAGCGTCTGCCTTCGGCTCAGGTCATGATCCCAGGGTCCTGGGATCGAGCCCCACATCGGGCTCCCTGCTCCGCGGGAAGCCTGCTTCTCCCTGTGCCTGCCGCTCCCCCTGCTTGTGTTCCCTCTCTCGCTATTCTCTGTCAGATAAATAAAATCTTTAAAAATCAATACATGAAATAAAGATTTTACTCATTTACTTGAAAGAGAGAGAGAGAGAGAGAGGGCAAGCATGAGTGGGAGGGGCAGAGGGAGAGAGTGAGAGAACCAGGCTCCCCGCTGAGCAGGGAGCCAGATGCGGGACTCGAACCCAGGACACCAGGATCATGACCTGAGCCAAAGGCAAACGCTTGACCAACTGAGCCACCCAGGCGCCCCAAAGCACACTTATTTATATGAGCTAATTCAGAGAGCCCTCCACGATACACTTATATTTAATGATTAAAAATGTTTTTGTATTAAAGAAAATAAGAAATAAACATGTAGCAGAAAAGCAATTACGAAAACAAAAGATGGTACAAAGAATATATGATAAACTGTTAGGAAAAGCACCAACAAAAGGTAATGCAAACTTTGGAGAAACAAAATCTGCGTGGACTTCTGGATGAAGTACTGATGAGTCAGAATATTAAAGGAGCGAACATACACCTCACATAAATGCACTGTCTTCTGAGGATTAGCGTTGTAATATCAGGAAATCCAGGTAGCACCTATGTCACGTGTCTTCATTTAATGTCTCAAAAGCAGTCCACTGACCGGCCCCTGCGCGTCCTGCGGATAACAGAATCCTCCATCGGGGGACCCCACATCCCATTTTCACTGCACCACGGCTGAACTGCAATGGGGGTGACAGACTGAGGGTGGTCCCCGGACCCTCCCTTGCCTGACTTCCTCGCTGCCCTGCAAGCATCAAGGAGATACCAGGCCCAAAAAGGGGTTCCACATGGTGACCCAGAACTCCAGTGAGACAAACTTACCTTACAGAAAAGAGGCCTACGACTCGGGTTCCTCTAGCATCCAAGGAGGTAAGCAATGCAGGGCTCCGCAAAGCACTAGGGACCGAACCAGGAGACCGCGAGGAAGTCAGCAGTTCCAGCTCGGGGCCCTTTAGGTGGGCCCTCTTCTGACTCAAACTCTGCTTACCAACCAAGTACCCGTTGCCATCAAATTAAATCCAACCAAAAGGGACTCGCTCCCGCCTGTCCTGCACGTAGCAGGCCTCGTCCCTGACAAAAGCCAGAGGTGGTGAGGCAGCAGGAACGCCTTCTACTATCTTCACTCAGCGTCCTCGCCTCTCTAAAGGAAGCCTGGCCAAGTGTGAGGTGACCGTGGGGAAGTCAGGCTCATCCACTGGGCGTGGACCAGGGCGAGGCAAGTGAGGCGCCCGCTCTCGGCACCGAGCCGGGGCAGAGCCAGCCTGGGAGCACTGCTTATGTGCTCGAGGGCTACAGCCCCTTCCTTCCCCTCCTCTAGCTCCTCTCCTGGCATCTCCTCTCTCCACGAACACAGCTACCCAATCCCAGTTCCCAGACGTTCAGTCTTAATCGAGGACTTACACACAAGGAGACACTTCGCCAGAGCAGGAATCCTATGAAAGGGAAATGCTATAAAACCTCAGGCTGTCATCAGAATTTCCAATACTTCAAATCTCACCTTGCCAACGAAAGCTGTCACGGGTCACATGAAGTCTGAGCCGGCCAGCAAAGGCGACCACCCACTATGTTTACGCTGTGACCCCAGGCAGGGCCGCCTCAGCGGGCGAACAGATCGGGCTACCATCCTTGTCAGGGTTAGCCTGGAATTACCTGTGATCTGAATTATGCGGGTCTTCCAAAGAGCAGCCCTGACGGACGGGGGCGTCCTGAATTTCATCACTAGGCCCCGCTACTCCCCCAGGACATTTCCCGTGGCCGCCAAACGGTTTCATCAGCCACGACGCGAGGCTCGCCCCCTGGGCTCCTGGCCGATCCATCACCTGACGACACGCTGACAGACACGCTTCTAACTCGTGATCGTGCGGGACCTTCCCGTGGCTCAGCCTTCCCCTTCTACTTGCTCCGGTCGTACTTAGCTCACGATTCCCTGGGTTCTTTTCCCTTGCTGACACGCATAAGGGGTAACCTCTGAGCTTTTCAGGCAGAAGAGGCCTTCAGAGCAACTGGTGAAATGCGGCGGGTCAGACCACAATTTCACCATCAAGCACCGAAACGGAAGCATGTCCTTGGCTTCTTCGCTCAGGAGCCAAGCGTGGCCACTTGCTAGACTTCAGCGAGTGAAATAATAGGAAATGGCCTGGGAAGACTGTCCTATCCTGAGAATGACAGGCTCTGGAAAGGACCTGGGATAAGGCGGAATCCCCTCGGCGGGTAGGGAGACTGGAGACAGCCCGACACGCTAACAGACTTGCCCCAGGAAAGACCCTGGCGACTGGCAGAGCCCGGACGAAGACTCAAGCCCTGACTACCAGATCGGCAGGCCGACGCGGCGTCGGGCCACACACGGCACGGAGCACCAGAGTCTGGGGCACAGGCGGACCGGTACATGGCGGACTACCTGCTTACCTGTCTGGATCCCCGTCTCTTGCTCTAACTGGTGGTAGAGTTTGTTGGAATAGTCTGCCATCTTCTGCTCGATGCTCAAGTGCCTGGCGGTGCTCAGGATACCAGCACAGAACCTCGTGGAGCCAGCAGCCAGCCTGCAGGATGCATCCAAAATGCTATCAGGTACACTCCCACAGCTGTGAATGCAACTAGCTCAAAGATCCTCACTACGGCATCGTCTGTCATATCAAAAGATGGAAGCAGCCTACGTATCCACCGACATGAGCGGGACTGAACAGGCTGGAGGTCCCCTCTACAATGGGATACTCTACACGGCCATTAAAAAAGGAACGAGAGAAAGCTTTTATGCAACAATACGGAACAACCCTAATGAAAAAAGCAAGGGGAGGGACACTGTTTAAGGTTCGCTACTAACTTGTATAGAAAAGAGAAAAAAATAATAAACGAATACCCGGGTACACATATACAAACTGACCGATACAGATTTGCTCATATAATGACTCGGGGAGTATCTGGAACGATACACAAGGAACTTAACTTGCCTCCAGCGAGGGAACCTTCCAGCTAGAAGTCAGGGGTGGGAGGCAGACTTTTCCCTGTACACACTCTTTTACAATTTTCAATCTGACTCGTGTACATGTATTGCCTATTCAGAAATAAATACAAAGGACGTGTTAAAGGTCATCCAATTTCTGGTAGGCAATAGAACAGAGAAGGGACATTAGGGGAAAAGTGAACAACTTGAACAGAGCATGAACTTCAGTTAATACTAAGGTATCCACACGGATTCACCGCATTTCTAGTTGATCCCACCCAAAGATGTTCCTCCGAGGTGCACACGGGACCCAGGCCTACAGACCGCTGCACTACCTTCACGTTTGTTCTGTGAATCTACCACCGCTCTCAAGTGAGTGAGTTCAACGGGGAAAAGGAACAGAGATCAGGCAGGAGGCAGCCAGTTTCATCTCGGCTCACAGAGGAAGCTCCTGAGCCGCGGGCTTGATGTCGCTGTGTGACTACAACGAAGAGGCAAGACGGCGAGGTGTGCCGTGACCCTGGAATGAAACGCACCCTCTCTAGAGACTTGGGTGTGCTGGAATCAGCCACCTCTGTCCAAGCCGGAAAACACGGGCGGTTCGCATCGCAAAACCGCATCCAGGGGATGTGGCCTGTCTGTGGTTCTTGTCCTGCGACTTAGCGCCAGTCAGCTTAGCTACTGGCGGGACAACATTACCGGGAGGGGAGGGGCTGAGGGGAGCCCACGCAGGCTGGTCCTTACCTGCCCTGCTCCAGAAGGACAATATCCTTCCACCCCATCTTGGCGAGGTGATAGGCCACGGATGTGCCCATGATCCCACCACCACAGATGACCACCTGCGCCTGGGCAGGCAGGGCGACAGGATGCGCCTCGGCAGCCGACGCGCCGCTCCTCCCCGACGACCAGTTCTGCCATCCTCGGCCGGTCCTTTGTCTTCGGACCACCGACAGCAACCGGTAGGACATCACGTCTGCCAGCAGCTCGGCGGTGCGCTCTCACTTGGCTACGGCGGAGACCCCCGACATGCACACTAGACGGAGAAAGCAACCAGATTTCATTCCATGTACTCAAGGCACAGGATTACGGAGAAAGGGAGAGGAGGCCCCGAAGAACGCTAATCATGCTCTCGGCCAACGTGTGAGGCCCTGCGCAGTTCCAGACGCTCTGCCAGCCGGAGAGACAGCAGGGGACAACGAGGAGGAGGGCCTTGCCTTTATGCACCTTTCATTAGAGACACAGACAGTGAGTGGATGTTTGCGTGTGTGTCAGGCTGCCTATGGCAGGGGCGGCCCAGACACAGATAAAACAAGGAACAAGGCCAGTGTGCTGGAATACTCGAAGGCATATGTAAACTGGGATGGTCGGGAAGAAGGGGACATCGGAGAAGAGACCTGACGGTGACCAGGAATCAGCTGGATGCGTCTTCCGGACAGAGGCGCAGGCACGTGCAAAGGCCCCGAGGGGAGGCCGACCCTGCGGAGTCCGAGCACAGAAGGGAGGCCAGTGTGCCCACAGCATGAGGAGTGGGGCGGAGAGGACCCAAGACAAGGCTGGAGAGGGAGGCACAAAGCAAGGACACACAGCGCTTGGATGCCATCGTGACGAGCTGGGATTCTGCTCCGAGTGCAAAGGAAAACACTAAAGCGGGGAATGAAATGATCGGATATGCTTTTCCAAGATCAGTCAGGCTCCACGGCGGCGGGGAGTGGGCTGGAGAACGAGAGGAAAGGCAGGGCCAGGCAGCTGCTGCGGTAGTCCTAGAGGGAGGGCCTGGGGGCTGAGACCCGCACGGTGGCAGTGGAGTCAAAGCCACGGCTGGGTTGTTCTGGAGGTGAAATGGAGGAACTGACTTGCCAACAAACGGGATGTTAAAATGGGGCAAGGGGAGAGACAAGGATGATGGCAGAGTTTCTGGGGTAAGCAACTGGTGCCACTTACTACAGCGTGAAGGGCTAGGGACGGGGAGGGAGGCGGGGAAGGAGAGGGAGCGAGAGGGAGGCTGTGGAGGGGTGCAGGCGCGGGTGCGCAGACAAGCGAATGTTCCCCTCTGAGGGGTCAAGTGCAAGACGCCGGGCGGGCACGCACGGGAAAAGGCCAGGCAGCAGCTGGACATCCAGGCCGGCAGCCAGGGGAACACGTGGGGTATCCGAGACCCGGCATGCCGAGGAACAAGAAGAACCCTGAGGCTCCCCAGCAGATACAGTTTGGAAAGAGAAAGAAAGTACCGGACAGAGGACAGAGCGCTGGGCAGACGCACAGAGCATCCGGACAAACAGAAGTGGTGCAACAGACCGAGAAGGAGCCGCGGCGAGGCAGAAAGAGAACTGGGCAGCGGTGTCCGAGAAGAGAGAGAGGAAAGGGTTTTAAGAAGCGGTTCGCTACGGAGGGTGCCCGGGGGTGCAGCAGGACGGCCAAGGGTCCGCCCGCTGCGACTTGACAACAGAGGTCCTTGGTGTCCCCAAAGAGAACATTCCCAGGAGAGTGCTCGGGATGAAATCCGGACCAGAGCAAGCTCCAGAGTGAGGAGATGAGGGAGTGCAGACCACTCCTTCACTTTCTGCTCCGAAGGGAGTGGAAAAACCAGCCAGCAGCAAGAAAAGAATGGGAGCAGAGCAAGGTTCTTGGTCTATAAAGGCGCGGGCCGTGGAGACTGTTTCACGGCTGGCAGGAAGGGCCAGTAAAGGGGAAAGGGGTGGGTCTGGAAGGAGAGGTGGTGACAAAGAACGAGGTCCTGGAAGAGAAGAGAGAAAAAGAGAGAGAGAGAGAGAGAGAGAGAGAGAGAACCCAAAGCCGCAGTGAGGGACAGCGTGCCCCGGGTCTGCACAGGCCACGGGCTGGAGGGAGACTCAAGGACCAGCAGGCCTCCTCCCGGAAGCAGGGGAGGGTTAGTCCAGGTGGGCTTATCCTGCACCCTCGGGTGTCACATGCTGTGACCAAGCACACGTGTCTACGAGACAACTAGCATCCTAAGGCAGAGAAGGGAAAGGGTACGGGATCGGGCCACCAGGGAGAATTACTCTCCCGGCAAAGCAGAGGCCTGTTCAGGGAACTGCAGACAGACCTGCCAGGAGACGGCAGGGTCACCGAGCGTGGGGAGAGGGGAGACTTCAGAGGAGAGCCCCGGCAGACAGTGCGCCCAGCAGCGTGCCACTACCAGCGCGGGCCCCACGGCGGGCCCCAAACAGCCCAACTTGTCCAAGGCCAAGGTGTGGGTGCCCGTCCATCACCACACAGCATCTCAGGACGGAGACCGAGCAAGGCCTACACCGCGTCCCAGGATAAATCCCACCCAACCAGGGCTGATGACTCGGCCACCTGGCGGTAGTCACCAGGCCTCACACCCTCGGTCCCTGTCCAAGGGTCTCAAGACAGAAGCTTCTTCCTGCAACCTCGTCTCCACGTGACTAATTTCTGTCCCTCCCTCCGTCTCTCTCTCTCTCTCTCTCTGCGGTCCTCCCCTCCAGACCTCTCCACCGTGCCCTCCAGAACACCCTTCCCAGAGTTAAGCACCCGGCCCTTCGCCAGTACTGTCTCACCTGTCCCCACGGGACGCAGCTCTTCTGAGGGAGCGGCCACCGCCACACGGCCAGCCCCACTCGACTGAGCTCGCCACGCGGGGGGCTGGGGGGTGAGTATCCTCCTCCTCCTTCCTTCAGAACTATTACTGCTTGGTCACACGCGAAAAGGCCCAGTTCCTTTGGGGCTCGGGCTAGCAGGCACCCCCTGCCTAGCCCCGGGGCCACCGCGGGTTCAGCCTCAGGCAGATGTCTGTCTACATTCGGGTTCTGAACCCACAACACTCCTCCTCTCCCAACCTCGGACCCCACCTCCTCTCTTCCTCCCTTCAAAGCAGATCACCTGTCTCATCGCATCCCCTGAAACTCCACCAATAATCCCACTTGCATCTACAACCATCTCTCCTTCCCTGAGAGGGTCAGGAGTTCGTCGCCCCACAAGAGCCCCGGACCCCTCTCCCTCCTTCCCTGGGACCCAGCTCCTCTCCCACGTACCTTCGGTGCTCCGCTCTGACCCTCGGCGTTTTCATATGCTCAAGTCCTCCCCACCCACCAAAGAAACGGAACAAAAGCTCCATAACTCTCTTCGAGTAGCGTCATTTTAAAAAAATTCTAAATGGTAAAAAATATGGTCTTGGCAAAAAGCACAAACATAGGAGGCAGTAATGACTTCCCATCAGGGCGCCTGAATTTCCGACTCCTGGCTTTGGCGCAGGTCGTGGTCTCGGTGTCGGGGGGATCGAGCCCCACGTCGGGATTCTCTCTCCCTCTGCCCCTTCCCCCACGCACAGGCACGCACGCACATGCCTGCGCTCCTCCTCTCTCTCAAATAAATAAATAAAATTTAAAACGATGATTTCCCATCATACAAAATTAGCAGTCCGATGTGCTGCCCTGCTGCCCACCTGAGTGCCGCCGCCTGTCCCGTGTCTTTCTTTCCTTACTCCTCAGTGACCGCAGAGTCTGCCGGCCGTCAAGCCAGAACGGACTCTTTCTTTTTTTTTTTTAAAGATTTTATTTATTTATTTGACACAGAGAGACACAGCGAGAGAGGGAACACAAGCAGGGGAAGTGGGAGAGGGAGAAGCAGGCTTCCCACCGAGCAGGGAGCCCGACGCGGGGCTCGATCCCAGGACCCTGGGATCATGACCCGAGCCAAAGGCAGTCTCTTAACCAACTGAGCCACCCAGGCGCCCCCAGAACTGACTCTTAATGTGATCTCACAGCCTGTCTTTTCACTTGACAAATACCTTCAGGAAAGGGCTTCCTACATGATCTGTCCCCTTTTCCCCCGTTTCCAGTCTGTCCTGAACCCAGAGCGGTTGGGCTTCTGCCCGCCAAGCCAGGAACGCTGCTCTCACCAAGAAGGCTCACGTCGCCAACTTCCGGGGACACCGGCCCCACCTCACATCCTCTCCACAGCACTGCACATCGCCCATGGCTCCCGCTACTCACACCCTCTCTCCCGGTTTTCATCCTGACTCCCACTACCCTGGTCACGTCTTCGCTGGCTTCTCTCCCCGGCCCGTCCTTCCGAGTCCATGTCCCTCACGGTGCTCTGGGACCAGCTTCTCCCCTCGGGCCACCACTCTCCAGGGGGATTTCACTGCCTACCGTGACCGAGAGCCCAACCCACAGCGGCCCCGACCTTTGTGTCTGTACCTCTAAGCGGAACAATGGCACGTCCACTTGGGCTCCCGAAGGTCAAACTGGGCACCTCCAACAAGGGAAACCCATCCTCCTCAATCTCCAAATCTGCTCCACTTCTGTGTCCCCCAGTGACACCATATTCGAGAACCCTGGGTGTTACCCTGGGCTCCTCCTTTCTCCTCTCCTCTATGCAGCCAACCAGCAAGGACTAACGATTCCACAGCCACATTTCCCTCATTCCCACTTCTCCCCATTCCCACTGCAGCTACCTGAGTACAGGCCGCCACCCTTGCTCAGATTACTGCAGCAGCTTCCTCACGGGACTTCTGGGGCTTCTGTACACCGTTCTCCCCAACACCCCACAGTCCTTACACAGGACTCAGAGCCAGTCTTCTCAAAGGCAAATCTTGTTTCACGCCCCTGCTTAAAACCCTTCAGTGATTTTCTGATGTGCTCAGGAAAAGGCAATCTCCTTCACAGGAAGGGCAAGATCCTTCACTCCCTGGCTCGAGAGCGCAGAGGCTCTCTTTCTCTGGAGCCACACGCAACCACCTGTAATTGACTCCTCAAACAGGACAGGATTCTGAAACCTCCGGGATCTGGGCATGCTGCTCCTCTAAACCTAATAGTATAGTTCCTGCCACTCTCCCCCACCCAGACAAAGGTAACTGCCTCAGCTCTCAGCCTATCTGACATCTTACCAGACCTCCTCTCCCCCAACACTGGGTCAGGTGACTCTTCTATGTTCTCCCATCACACCCTGCACTCCTCCCAGCACAGAGCTTCCGGGACTGTGTCACGGTCTGTTCGCCAATCAGGGAAACAGCACAACCACCCTGCTGAGAATGTAGGCTTGAGAGAGAGGCAGGCAGCCGTAGGTTGGAAAACCTCCCCCCACCTCTCATTAGCTCTTTCAGCAAGTTATGCCACATCTCTGTGCCTTGGGCTCCTCATCCATAAGGTGAGCTAGGACTACCCACCTCACACGGTTGCTACAAACAATCAGACAGGAAGGAAAAACGTGGCAACGGGCACCTAAGCAGCACTCAGTAAGTGGTCCTTTTTAGTCTCCTATTATGATGGAGCTCTCTGGGAGCTGAGACCAATTATATAACTTGATCATGGTTTTCCCAGCATTCAGGGGAGGCACCTAGGAAATACACATTGCCGAATGGCTGCGAGGAGAGAACACACGAGAGGGGGAAAAGTTCAATGAGGACTCTGGGATCTCAAGGCTAGGCCCTCAGATTTGAGGGGATATCTAAATCACGCGTAAGAATTCTTAAAAAAGAAAATGGTAGTATCTTCATAGGCAGTCACAGTCGGCCAGATGCCGCTTCATGCCTACAAGGGACTTAAGGCTCACAACCCTACGAGGTAGACACTAAAGTTTCTTTTCTACACTTGACGAAGCTGAGGCACAGAGAAGTAACTCATCCGAGCTTCTCTAATGCCGGTGAGGGGCAGAGCCGGGAGTCAAACCCTGCCGGGCTGGCACCGGAGTCTGCCCCGGAATCTTTCCTCCCTGCTACCTTTCAAACAACATCAGATGAGTAAAGAAAGGGTACTTGTGAGGACAGAACCACAAGGCACATCCCCTGGCAGGATAAAAGGAACTGCAAATGTAGCAGAAGACACATAACAACAGTTGAGGCTCAAGATGGAATAAACAATGTTAAAAACTTAGGGTGATTAAAAAAAAAAAATTAAGCCTAGAGTGATAAGAACCAAGAAAAGGATTTGTGACCCTGTGTGCAACATGACCTTCAAAGAGTCACTGAAGAGGTGAGGGCAAACAAGAACGAAAAAGGATTTAAAGTGGATGCAAACAAAGAAAGGAAGGCACCAGAGTACCCAAGTAGGTTTGGCAGCAAAACCAAGGCAAAGTTTGCCGGCAGAGAAGGGAAAGTCGGTAGACAAGAAACTGAAGATGTCAAAAACAAAGAAATAAAAGTCGTAACCACATTTAAAACAAACACACACATAAATACATACATGTTAAGTTTTATTTAAGTAATCTCTACACCCCATTCGGGCTGGAACTCATGATCGAGAGTCACATGCTCTTCCGACTAAACAAGCCAGGGGCCCCAAAAATAAATTACATGTTTTAAAAACTAAGATGACCCTACAGTCTTTTCTGCTAAGAAGAAAAGTATCTGCCAAGCAACCTCGATATCGGGACTAGGTATGCTCACATCCGCTTACACCAACATGAACAAGAGGGCAGCTCCAAGTCCCTCTGAGCTGTTCCTCTGTATGGTCACAGCGTGTGCACAAACGGGCCGCTGGGGACTAGGAAGCCTGGCGAGTGGAGAGCGATTAACAACATTTCCCACACCTGCCTCAGCACAAGAGCCAGCAGCACATTTAGCCCACGCTCCTTCTCTGGAGAGTGGATCCTGCTGGTCCTGGGTGTGTAATTCTCAACAAGTGCCACCAGGTGATCAGACAAGTCGAAGAAATTAAGACAAATCGCTAGCGCTGGCCAAGTGTGCCCCGTGGCCCGGCCCCCCTCCTCCTTCCCTCCGCGGCCCCGTACGTCACGCTTACACACACCGGCAAACTGCACTTGTAGATGCCCGAATCTAATCTCAGTGTCCTTCACATCGGTCCCGAGTGGTCACACATCACGAAGTCGGCTCACTGCCCTGGGCCTACACTCTTCCCGGTAACTCGGCCGCCGCACGCGGCAGCGGTCTTACAAGTGAGGGAGGCACAGGCGGACCGCACGTCTCCAGGCGGGAAAGCAACCGCACCCGCAGTGGAGCAAGACCGGGCGAGACCGGCCTCATGCGCGCTAGAGGCTTGCCCGAGACCGGGAGCCCGAAGCGAGGTCACCCCGGCCGCTCTGCACGTCGGGCTGAGCCGGCGGACGCCCCCTGAGGAGCCGGTGCGCAGGCCCCGGGGCAGCCGGGCACGGGTCTCCGAGGCCCGGACCACCTCGGCCGGACGGAGCGCAGCGGCGGACAGGCTGAGAGAGTCGAGGCGGACCCCTCTCGGCCCGGGCCGCCGGAGTCCCCAGGCGACTCGGCGCAAGCGACGCGAAACGAGGGGCGGACGGGACCACCCCCGAGGGAGACCAGAGAGGAACGGGGGACGCGGAGACGCGCGCGGAGGGGAGGCCAGAGCGGCCCCGCAGCTGTCTTCCTTACCTGACGGGCCCCCGCGGGCTCCGCGGTCAGCAGCACCCCGGCGGCAGCGGGGCAGCAGCCACAACAGTTGCGGGGGGGGGGGGGCGTCCCGGCGCCAGGACGCGGGGAACGGGGAAGGGAAAGGGGCGGGGCGGAGGGAGCAAAAAGTTCCGGGGAAAGCCGGGGACCGCGACCTTCCGCGCTTTACGGGCCCCACAAGGGTACGCCGGCGCCAGATCGCTCCCGCGCACGCGCGCGCCGTGACGTCCCCGCAGCGGCCCCGCCCCTGCCACGTGGGGCTTGTTTGGGTCTCGCGAGGCCCCGCCCTGGGCCTCTGGGCTGCAGCCGCGGTGGTCCGGGACGGTCTCGGAACTCGGGCCGCCGGCCCGGTTGACCCCTGCAGGTGCAGCCGGGACGTCCGCGGTGGGCCGCTCGCCGTGCCGTGCTGTGGGGAGCGCGGGGCTTCGCTCTGCCCTCCAGGCGCGTTCCCACTTCCGTCCCCGAGTGGGTCGCGGCTCAAAGCCACTCTGGTCCAGGGCGCCAAAGGGCGTCTTGGACCCGCAGGCGCTCGGCTCCTCCTGGGCGAGGCTCTAGCGGAGCGCGACTGAAATCCGCTCCGCCGGCCTGGCCCGACCTGGGAGGCGGGATTTAGAGGCCCTGAGCTCTGGGCCGGTCGTCACTCTGCACCTTCCTGGCTTGTCTGGGCCGAGGACGTGGACTCATTCAGTCCGTTTTCTGAGAAGGCCCCGGTCCAGCCCTCCCTTACTGTCAGTGGCCCTGTTTTCTTTCCCTTGTGGAACTCGTCACCCTGTACAGTCTGTGTTGGTTGGACTGCCTTTCCCGCCAGTTGCAAGCCCTGCCCTCTCTCGACAGAACCTCAGTCTTAGGCACGGCTGCGTTCCCAGCACGTGCAGCCCTGCCTGGCGCGTCGTCCAGTCACTAGCTCTTTGAATGGAGAGCGTTCGGACGGTACAGCGGCCCCTGCAGGTTGCGCCACACTCTGGTTTCCCGTTCGTTGAATCCAGGCCCTCCTCACCACCACTTCCTTATGGCCTCTTTTGGCCAGGCACCGTACTGGGCGATGGGATTCAGCAGCGCACAAGAAAGAGAGGGCTTCTTCCATTCGCGAGTGGCAAGAAAGCTCCGGGGACCCCTGTGGCACCACGCCAGCCCCCAAGCTGCATACTTT